AATAATAATATGATATTTTGTCTCTCGATATATTCCATAAAATAATAATTTGAATATCTACCACTGAGCTACCAAACGTGTTAAAAAAACATACATATTTCAGACATAACGCACGTGCTGAAAATTAAAAAAAAAGACTTACTTGTATTTTATCCAACACTCCGGTCGAATCCATTCGGCTTGCCACGTTCACGGCGTTTCCCCATATGTCGTACTGAGGTTTTCTAGCCCCTATCACACCCGCCACCACAGAACCGATATTTATACCTGCATGTCATAATGTCATATAMAATATAAAGGTTTATATTAATAATTATGCATATTCGTTTTATATTTGTCACCATGGCATGGCAGAGTGAAATTTCTTTTAAAAATTAAAAATTGTACTATAGTAAATTGATTACTTGAAAAACTACATACATACCTAACCTAACCTTGTAATCTGTGTTGTTGCCACTACAAAATTTAAATTAAATTCATTTTTATGGTTGCTACCTTTTTGTATTAGGGGAGTAGTGAGGTAATTCAAATTAAGATTATAGACTATAGTATATATAGATAGCGTTATAATATTGATAACTTTATTTATTTGAAAAATGTTGATAAAAAATATTTTATTGTCATTAATACCTATTATTACAAATTATTGGTTCAATAACGCGTTATGTCCATCGTAATTATATTATAAGTATTATAGATTTACGATTTACCTATTTTTCATTATATAAGTATTATCATTAGCAAGTGCGTCATTTCAACTTTTTGCAAAGTATGATACCTTCTAGAAAGAACAAAAAATCAGGTACTTGCTGCTTACAATTTACCATGTTACATAAAGATAATTTATTAATTTGTTTTCTTGATGTTTATAGTTTAATAAGGGTTTTGGGTTTTTCTGTACGAATTATGAATCGTTCGCCGATACGTACGTCACCGCATCAATTCGACAAATTAATTAATCAAATGTTTATAAAAATACAGTATTTTTWGACCTAACCTTATCAGCCATTATTTGTGATTTTTAAACATTTTTTGAATTTTAAAATTAAAAACAAAAAGTCTATTATTTTAAAAAATTTCATATTTTCTTAACCATAGGTAATATAATTTGTTTTGTTTTTAGATTGAGTAAAAATAATTTTAAATTACTCATGCATAGTAATATTACATAAGTATATAGAGTAGGTAGATGTCCATTAAAAAACGTTGATGTATAATTACTAAAACAGAACTAAAATTTTTTCTTTATTATTTAAAATATTCTCAATATTGAAATATGTAACATGTGGTTTGTACAAAAATTTCAAAACTTAAGTTACAAGGTGAATAAATCTATGTTTAATCATATTAGCTGGTTTAGAGCATGCCAAATGTTTATATTTAAATTAATTTGAGAAGTKTTATGTTGTTAATGTTCATGTAGGTAAATAATTATAGCTTTGAGATTTTTTTCCTGAGACATTTTTTTCCAAGTATATATAGGAACATCTAAGTATGTGATCATGAAGGGAGATTATCTTACGGACATTTTTTTCTGTTTTCTCCGTTTATTATACCCTCGTAGTGCCTCTATTGGAACTTACCAATTCTGATGCGGAAATTGTTGAACGAGTGTTCGTTAACGTATGCCAACTGCTCGCGGAGTCTGAGCGCGTAGTCKGCCATGGCGGTGACATGTGAGTACTGTTTGCTGTCGCAAGTGTGTCTGGTCAGTCCGGAAGCGGCCATGTACGTAGCGCCGGTCGACTTGATTTTCTCAATGCACTGAAAACGCGGTTCACTGAGCAGCTCGTCGAAGTCGGCAATGATCTCGTTCAGCAGTCGCAAGCACTCGACGCCCTCGTTGTTGGCCTCCAATTCTACGTAAAATTCGGAGAAGTTCGGTATGGACGCGAACATTATGCACACGCTGTCACACTGCTCATGGTATAGTTCCTGCAACAAAGCGGAAGTTCAATACTGGGTACACATAAAACTATGGTCGTTATACCCACAACATTGA